TACCTTAGGTTTTCCTCTTCTGATTAAAAAAAAAAAAAAAAAAAAACCACCACAAAGCCCGGCATGGTGGTACACACCTTTGATCTCAGCAGAGGCAGGTGGATCTCTGTGAGATTGAGGCCAGCCTGGTCTACAATAGCCAGTTCCAGGGCAGCTGGGGCTACAGGAAGACCCATCCTCTTAGCTTTTTTTCTTTTTTGCAGTACCAGGTTTTGAACCCAGGGCCTCATGCATGCCAGGCAAGCACTCTCCCACTGAGCTATAGTCTCAGCCCAGGGAGACCCTGTCTCAAAAAGACAAAAAACAAAACAAACATACTACTAAAATACAAGAGTGACTGTGAACGTAGCTCAGTGGTCATGCACTTACTTCATACACACAGGGTCCTGAATTTGTTCTCTAGCATGGAAAACCTAAAGTAAATATAAGGGGTCAAAAAGTGTTGAAATTTTCCATAAACAACTTTCTGATTAAAATTTTTAAAAACCAGGGACTGGAGAGACGGCTCAGCAGTTAAGAGCACTTACTGCTCTTTCCAGAAAACCTGGGTTCAGTTCCCGGCACCCACAGGGTGGCTAACAGGGGTCTTCAACTCCAGTTCCAGAGGACCCAATTATCTCCTCAGAAACCAGGCACCAGGCATGCACATGTGCACTTACATGCAGGTAAAACATTCATACCCATAAAATAAATAAATATGAATAAATTTTTTAACTTAAAAACCAGGGTCAGGAGGTCCTCAGTTAGTAAAGCCTGTACCTTCAAGTATGCGGACCAGAGCTCTATTCCTAGAACCCACTGGGTGCAGCAGTGTGCACTTCCAATCCCAGTGCTGAGGGCTGGTTAGGCAGGCAGAAACAAGAGGATCCCTGCAGCCAGTCTAGCCTAATTGGTAAGTGTCACACCAATGAGACCAGGGCCCTGTCTCTAGGGTGGGCAGTGTTCCTGAAGCTGTCATCTGGCCTCCACCTGTGTAGATACATACATCTTCATGAACACACACACTCACATACATACATACATACATACACACACACACACACACAGAGGCATGTTTTAAAAAAGAGTATCATGAAAAAAATGTGACAGAATCCACTAGATTACTGCGTCTGGGAAAGCTGGCATTTACTACACAATCAACTTCAACTAAAGAAGTCCACAAAACAAGATTAAAAATTATTTTGAAATAAGTTCTGAAACACCTCCACTAACCACTTGATTAGAAGAGTAAATTATGATATCTTAATTTGTATACCTCACCTTCTAAGAAAAAAACATTACATCTTTATCAGGAATATTGTCACTTTCTTCTCAAGAATGGGTATCTGCAGAATTTTCCTAGTAACATACAATTTATAAAATGTTAGAATGTGCTACCAGGCTTTATCTGATACATGCTATTCCAGTGGGATGAAAACCATTTACAAGTTTAGATTAAGAAATCCTTTGAGAAAAGTATGTAGTCCATTCTAGTTATACCGTTTCTAGAACAGTAAGAACCTCTATAACCTATTTCCCTACTGTTTTCTTCAGAACCAACTGAGCTCACTGTAACTTCCTTCACAAAAAGCCAAGACGCTCCCTGTTATAGTTACTGACAGTACTTGAATTTTCAGCAGATTTAAGTTTTCACAAATTTAACCTATCTCATACATTCTACAAAAACAATAGCACAGTTTAAATATTCAAGTATTGTTTTCAGTCACATAAAAAAAATTCATTAAAATGAAAAATGTAGCTCCATTTTGGGAGGAGGGACGAAGAAAAAGGGGAAACTTCTATAACCAAACTACTTACACTGAGTTTGTTTTTTTGATTCTCTTAAAACACAAAATCCTTCTTACAATAAAACTCCCCTGAAAGTGACAGCCTAGCATTCAGGAGGCTCCAAGCTCCCGCCCCAGTGCCACAAAAATAAGTAAAATTCCCTGATTCTAAAAGTTCATCCTTGGCCAGTACCTGTCTTTTACAAAGCACTGTGTTAACCAGGCATGGCAGCTCGCACCTGTAATCCCAGCAGGGGAGGCTGAAGTAGGAGGATCACCCTATGTTTGAAGTCAGCTTGGGTTCCATAGTCAGTTCCAGGCTAGCCTAAGCTACAGAGTAAAGACTTTGTCTCAAAACAACCTAACAACAACAACAAAAAAACCCAAAGTAATAAGTTGCATTCAGACTAAGTTGAAGAGCATTATAAAACAATTTCATTTTATATTTTGCTATTTGATTATATCTCTCATCCAACCAGAATTAAAGGTGTGTCTATGCAACTTTCTGAAAAATTGTATGTCAACTTTAATTCATGTTTAAAAACCTTACACAAATAATCTATTTACTTGAAGACTTTACTTGAAGAACCTGGCAGAATGTATTCTAAATAATTAAAGGAAATCATGAATGTATGAAGCTGGTATGTTTAAAATGTTACAACTAAAAACTACACTAAGATATTTACAAACTGCAGCTTACTCCCTATCAAAGTGTCAAAGGACTTCATGTATCTTTTTTAGACAGACTAAAGATCCCTAAGGAAATTTATAGATTTCTAAAGACTCAAACTAAGACTGCAATACTGCTGGCAAAAAGAATGGAGGGAGGAAATTACTCAAGAAAATGTTCAGTAAGTCAAATACCTTCACAAAAGACATGTATTAAAATCACTCACCCCCTTCTACCAGACAAACAGTCCTCTCCTCATAACATACTGCCTACAATTCAGTCAAGGGTGGCTGCCAAGAATATCTAGACCTGTGTTATGATGGTTCAAACATGCACGCTTCTCCAGCAGCATCTATTTTTTACTTGCAGCTGAAGAGAAGTTGTTGATAGTCATTTCTTTTAAACTTCAAGGTATAACTAAAGGAAAGGTTTGCAATATAGATCACTTCCAGTTCTCAGAGGAATAGGGATTTAGTTTCCCCAAGTAGGGGCTTAAGTGGCTAAAAGGAAACAAGAAAGTTTATAAACAGCTTTCCCAACCTTAGTTTACACTGAGTTTCTCTTAAAATAAAAGAGTTCTTCATAATAACTGAATGTAACATGTTAAGGTTCCTCAAATTTTACAAATTAATGAAGGCAGAGGCAGGCAGGTTTCTTTGAGTTCCAGGCCAGCCTAGTCTACATAGTGAGTGCCAGGCCAGCTGGGACTACAGGGAGACCGCGTCTCAAAAACACCAAATAAATAAAGAATTTTACAAGTTAAAATGTAAAGTTTCCATTAACCCAGTAATATGTAAAAGCGACTAAAAGAACTGCATTTGAACTTAGATTTACGGTGTTACTATTTTTGTTAATAAGAGACAGACTGCTTCATGAGAATGCTATTATGACTTCAAATATTTCTACATATATGTTAAGAACACAATGTCTGATTTATGTTCAACCTTCACATGTGTGTACCTGACCTACATATCGTATTCACTTTTCTGGCAATTTTTTGTGTCACAGTATTCAGTATTCTAGCAAAAGCTCTGACTTCTCATTATGCCACTAGTACATGATAATTTTGCTTCCACTAAACCATGGACACCATAAGCCACCTCTTGCTGTGGATAACAACAGTTGAGTACCATTAAATGCATGTATATGCACAGCTTTGCGATTTCTTTTGTCAGCCTCCTTTTAGTCTATGGAAAAATATAAGGGGTTTATCAAAAAAATATCAGCTTCTCTTTTGCATACATAACTAATTGTATTTTTTCCTTACAACTTATTCAGATAACTCCCACCCTTAAAAGGGGGGGGGGGACTAAGTAAATCTGATACTGGCTAGAGAGGAAATCTCCACACAAATCATCAATAAAATATGCCATCAATTAAGCTGAACATCAATATAATTCTGCCAATAATCGATTCTCAATATAAAAGGAATCTGAAACCCACATATAATCAAAATACTGTTTATATTCGCTTGTGAAGTTCAGGGATGAATTCTGTGTGTGCGCCAGATTCATCTTATTTTGAAATGCTTAGGCTGATCTTTCTGGGTATAATCAGAGACCACATCAAGTGTCCTGAGTAGAGGCAATTCAGGAGAAAGCTTAGTAGCATGGAGAAGGTCCAAGATGAAAAGGGGGAAAAACCATGGTCCAACAGAGCGAATAATCAACAATGGATCATGCAATGCAAAGCGTTCCTCTCTGAGCAGTCCGAAGAAAGATCTTTAACGTTTACAATCTCCGACCTCACTTCACTCACTTCCCAACTTCCTTTACTTTTCAAGGAAGAACATGGGGCACCCCCTTTGCTGGAAGTGTGTGTTGAAAGAATCTGTATAGGAAAGAGGGAAGGAACGGACAATTCTCAAGAAGGCTGAGAAACAGGTGGATTACAGGGAGCTGCAGCATTATCTGGATACTCACGGGGCAGCTTTGGGATGACAGATGTGGATAAGAGAGACTGCACATCGGAAGCAGCTCGGCTCTGGCAGACAGACTGGGGCTGACTGCAAGCACTAGAGGGGGGCAAAGGCTAGATAGATCCAGAAGGGCAGCAGTGGAGGAAAAAATAAAAAACCAGAAGCAGAACGAGTTGGGCAATGAGGACAGGGACTAAGCAACGGCAGCTGCAGCATCGGTCGGAGTGGAAGTGATGGTTCTGGGCTTGGGAAGACGGGGCCGGTAGGAAAGGACGTCAAAGGGGAAAGGGGGCTGGGGAACCAACTACCAAGATCTAAGGCTACTGGTGCCAGGAAAATGTGGGGGGAAGCTGGAGCCCAGAAGCTGCCCTGGCTTCCCAATTGGAGGAATTCTCGAAGGAGAGCCGGCGCCGAGCACAGCGCTGCCTCCAGCCCGGCTCGCTTTTCCTGGTGGTAACTGCTGTGGCGTAGAGGGGAGAGGGAGGAAGAAGAGGAGGAGGAGGGAGCCGGAGGAGGAGGGGGGTGAAGGCGAGGCGGGGGGTGGGGAGGACGGGGGGTGCGGCCTGCACAGTCCCAGCGAAGCCTCCGCTCTCTCGTAGACGGTCAGCGCCGGGTTTCCCCTAAGCCCAGCCCCGCAGACACTCACCCGCCTGCCTTGCCTTGCTTTTCCCGTAGCTGACTCCACGCGCTGCCGCGTCCTCACCGGAGACCAAAGAACGAGCGTCAGCGACAAAACTCTTGAGAACCGGGCCTGACTGCTTCAGCGAGTCCGACCTTTACGGGTGAGAGAGAGAGACTCTCAGCTTTCGGTGGGTTCCACAGCCAGACGGGCCACCATCTTACATTAGGGTAAGACTCCTCCGGCCTCCGGTACGCAGGCGCACGCCGATCCGGCAGGGAGGGGCGGGGGAGGGGCGGGACGAGCGGCTGGAGGCCGAGTGGGAGGTTGTGGCGGCCTCCTCCATTGCACGCTGGGAGTTGTAGTCCTGGGAGGGTAACTGCCCCGGGGCAGGCCGGGAGTTGAAGTCATCACTGGAGAGGGCTCTCGGGAGCTGCCTCCTCACGTGGCTACCAGAGCTCCGGCTTTCTTCTTGTTTTGCTTCCTTCTCTGCCCGCGTGTGTGGCTGCAGTCATGTGGTCGGCAGTTTTCGTTAGTGTTTGCTGAAATGTAGGAAGCCCGAACTCCAGGAAGTTTAAATGATTTGGGCAAGCGAGGACGTGTCTTCTCTGCCCCGCCCTCCGTAGATAGGTATCTAACCGGGGCGGGGTGGAGGTGGAAGCAGGTTAGGGATTGCTAGAGCGCGGGATTTGATCTAGAGTGAGGCTTTGATACTGTTTGGGGAGAGTAAGCGTTTCCCGTCTTTGCGTATTTCAGACACTACCACGTTGATCTCATCCTCACGGTATAATCGCAGGTGAAGACATACCCTGAATTGCCATATGCAAATTTCCTAAGAGAACCACGCACTCAGAATAGCATACTAAAAATGTGCGGATTCCGCTGTAAACTCCTAGCTGCGGGTCCAGCCTGCACAGCTGTGTGCGTCAGGTTCACAAACGCCGGCAGATCTACGCCTCCCAAAGAACATAACGCAACCACAGCCTATGCGAGCACCCAGGAGTCACAAAAATCCGTCAATTTACTGGTTTTCGCGAGTTGCCTCCTAGAACCCTAGAGGAAGTGGCGCCCTCGAAGCTGTGGGTTTTGCTTGTTGCGTGTATTCTTCACCCATTCATACAAATGCACTGAGCACCTCGGTGCCCAGCACTTGTCCTTCCTTAAATTGGGGACATGCAACGGTATGCAAAACACAAATCCCTTGTCTCCATTCCAGCGCTCGCTCGCGAGCCTGTGTCTGTGTGTTCGCGCGCATGCAGTGGAATTGGGAAAAGTGAGCGGAAACTATTTTTAAAATACATGATTGAAATACAAAGCATGGGATATAACCGAGTGGTAGCGCTTGCCTGGCACGAGTGAGGCCTGGGAGCAGAGGATTGTGGTGAGAGTGGGATTAAAAAATTTAAAAAAAAAGAAACAGAAATTGGGAAAAAACTTGAAATTTAGTATCTCATAATGAGAAGCCCTCATTTCATTCCTTTTTAAAAAATTATTTTCTGTGCTTCAGTCTTCATTCTCAAGATAGAGAATAATTTTAGTAAAGAATTAATATGTGGGGCTGCAGAGATGGCACCGTGATTAAGAGCACTGGTTGCTCGTGCAGAGGACCTGGGTTTGATTACCAGCACCCACATGGTAGCTAACAACCACCATATCTCCAGTTCCAGGGGATCCTACACCCTCTTCAGACCTCTGAGGCATTGCACAACGCAGGTGCACTTACATACATGCACATAAAAATAGTAAAACATTTTTTAAAAAAAGAATATGTGATAAACTCACACTCAACTATAAATTTGAAATTATAGACTCATATGAAATGATTACCTAAAAAGAAAGCTTGGGAAATCATTTAAATTCACTTATAAGTAATTAAATGCTTAAACATTCAGTATAGGTAACACGTACTTTTTAAAAATCTGTGTTTATAGGGCTGGAGAGATGGCTCAGCAGTTAAGAACACTGGTTGTTCTTGCAAAAGACACGGGTTCAAATCCCAGCACCCACATGACAGCTAACAACTGTCTGTAACTCCAGTCCTAAGGAATCCAACAGCCTCTTCTGACCCCCGCCGGCATTGCACCACACTGGTGCACTTACCTACATGCAGGCAATACATGCATACACATAAAATAAAAAAAAATAAATTAAATTTAAAAACTGTTTATTTTTGGTTAAGAGCACATGCTCGGGACTGGAGATATGGCTCAGTTAAGAGCATTAACTGCTCTTGCAGAGGACTCAGGTTCAATTCCCAGCACCTACATGGCGGCTTCAAACCCTCAACTCCAGTTTCAGGGGAATCCGAAGCCCTCTTCTGACCTCCGGGGCATTGCAGGACATGGGTGTACTTACGTACATGCAGGCAATACACATAAAATAAAAATTTTTTAAAAAAGCGCATGCCCTTCGAGAGAACTGAAGTCTGGTCCCCAGCACCCATGTCAGGCGACTCAGAACCACCCATAACTCCAGTTCCAGGGGCTCCAACACTCTCTTCTGGCCTCTGAGGCCACCAGACACACAAATAGTGCACTTTCTATAGTGGCTAAGCAAAACAGTGAAATTAACAAACGAAAAGGCCTATTTTTGTTTGTTTTAGACAGGATCTCCCTGTAGCCTCAGTTGGCCTTATAGACCAGGCTGGCCTTGATCTCACAGAGACCTGCCTGCCTCTGCCTCTACCTTCAAAGTGCTGGATTAAAAGGCATGTGCTATCATGTATGTCCCTCAGAATGATTCTTAAAAAGTCAGGAATGGGGGCTGGTGAGATGACTCAGCTGGATAGGGCCCTTTCTGCCAAGCCTGATGACCAGGGTTCAATCCTTGACCCCACATGGTAGAAGGAGAAGGCCAAATCCTGCAAATTGTCCTTTGACCTCTACCCATGTATCATGCATGTCCTCCCACATACATACAAACATACATACACACATGTGCACACTAAATGAATAAAGATTCATTTAAAATGCAGGAATATGTTTCTATAAATTACAGGATTAATTCACATCACATATGTAATGTGTGGCTAGTTTCTTGAGAGAATTGTGATTGGAAAGGGGAGGAGGGGAAATGTAGCTTTCTTCATAAATTGCTGCATTGATTTATGGTTATGTGTATGAATTAATTTCATACATTTTCAAATATATATCACTCTGCTCTGTGGAGAATGGATCAGAGAAAGGCAAGAATGAAAATGGAGCACCTAATTAAGAGAATATTTCTGTCATCCAGATGGTTACTCTGATTGTGGTGGCAGTAAAGATAGAAAAAAGGTGACAAATTCAAGACACATTTTTTTTTAAGATTGAAATAATAGAACTTAGTGATGCACTGGAAATGAAGGTGTTCTAATGAATGAGGCAGGTTTTCTGGATTAAATGGCCCTGTAGATGTTGGAGTCATAGGTTAAAAAAAGAAGCTGGTGAATACTGAAATAGAGTCCACAGAATATAGGAGGACAACTTCATCTGAAAACCAACAGGATTTCAGAGGAATAATGATTGCCCACTTGGGACTGGTAAATTTATTTTTTAATATTTTATTTATTATTTTATTTTGTGTGTATGAGTGTATTGCCTGCATGTATGTTAGTGCACCTGTGTCGTGCAATGCCGCGGAGGTCAGAAGAGGGCTTCGGATTCCCCTGGAACTGGAGTTAAGGATGGTTCATAACCACCATGTGGGTGCTGGGAATTGAACCCAGGTCCTCTGCAAGAGCAGGCAGTGCTCTTAACCGCTGAGCCATCTCTCCAGCCCTGGTAAATTTATTTTTTAATTTTTATTTTTTTAATCGTGTGTGTGTGTGTTCATGGGTGGTGGCTTTATAAATTATTTGTATGTGGATATTTTAAATGAATCAAATTTCAAGTCATATTCTTGGGATATAGTCTCAGAGAGCTATTTGGCCCAAAGAAATGAACATTTTGAAGCCAGGTACAGTGTCCCATGCCTTTAATCCTAGCACTTGGGAGGCAGAGGCAGGCAAATCTCTCTGGGTTTCAGGCCAACCTCGTCTACGTAGACCATTCCAGGCCAGCTGGGGCTACAGGGAGACCCTGTTTCAAAAAGACCAAAGGAAAAAAAAAAAAAAAAAAAAAGAGAGATGAACATTTTGACGTTTGGAGTGTAGCTCAGTGAAGGAGTACTCCCTTTAAATACTAATGTCACTTTATTTGTTTTTATTTCAAAAACCCTACTAACTGGGTTTTATTGTTATTTGCTGGGTTTTTTTTTTTTTTGGTTTTTTTGAGACAGGGTCTCGCTGTAACCCCAGCTGTCCTGGAAATCACTATGTAGACCAGGCTGGCCTTGAACTCACAGAGATTCGCCTGCCTCTGCCTCCCCAGTGCTGGGATTAAAAGTGTGCACCACCACGCCCGGCTGTTTTTTTTCATTTTTAAAAATTCATTATTTTTATTTTATGTGTATGAGTGTATAGCCCGCATGTAAGTGTACCCTGTCATGCAATGCCCTTTGAGGTCAGAAGAGGTCATCGGATTCCCCTGGAACTGGCAATAAGGATGGTTGTTAGCCACCTTGTGGGTGCTAGAGATCAAACCCAAGTCCTCTGCAAGAGCAACCAATGCTCTTAACCAGTGAGCCAACACTCCAGCCTGCTATTTGCTATTTTTAGTGTTAATCATTTAGTAAGTATATGAATGTTAAAAGTTGGGTCTAGATGGTAGATTGCAAAGTACTAAGCTCTAGCAAAGTTATCCTAGGGCTTGAAAGAGAAGACAGACGTACAACAAATTTTAAAAACTAGAAAATTACTTAATTGTTGTCAAAGTATTAGAAAGGAGAAAAAAGCATAAACAAAAAATTCCTGGAATGGATTATATGGGAAAGCCTTGCTAAAGAGTTGTCATTTGTTTGTTTGTTTGTTGTTTGTTGTTGTTGTTGTTGTTGTTTGGCTTGTTGGTTTGGCTTGGTTTTTTGAGACAGGATGGCCCCAGCTGGCCTGGAACTCGCTATGTAGACTAGACTGGCTTCCATCTCACAGAGATCTGCCTGCCTCTGCCTCCCAAGTGCTAGGATTAAAAGTATGTGCCACCACGCTGGCTAAAGAGATGTCTCAATCTGAGATTTAAAGGATTAGAAATGCTGATCTGTTTTTTAAAAACGACCCAGGCCAAGACCTTGCTTCAGAAATATGTTCACAATATTCCAGGAATGGAACGTTAACCCATCAAGTTAGTGCAAAAGCAAAGGGACAGAGATAAGGAAGAAAAGATCCAAATGTGCACAACAGTTGGATTGTATTC